TTACAATATTTTTTAAATTTTAATTAATAATTAATAAAATTTACCATATTTCATCCATAATACTTTTAAAAAATAAATAACCACATACCAAAATAACTTCCAATAATAATTGTAATACAACATATCTCAGTACAATCACAACAATAATTACAGTTATAACACTTTATAGCAACTCTATACGCAATATTTTAGTACCCTCATAAAAGGGAAAAAATTCTGACAATTTCTTTTTCGTTGGCTTTTTTTTTTTTCATTTTTTGGAATTGTTTTTAAAAAATAAGATAATATTAAATATAGTTTTCAATCCTTATAATTAGTATTAAATATTATTTTAATATTTTATTTAAATTAAAAATGATTCTAAATATTTTTTAAAACCACTAAATTTAATCTTACAAGTAATTACTTCATTAAATTTCTAATGAAATTTTTACTTAAAATTTTATAAAGCCACCTAAATCCTTAAAGAAAAAAAATGCTAAATTATTTTTTTATACCAAATATACATTTTAAATTTTTAGTATTGCTGAACCCTTTTTTTTCTTTTGGAAACTTTGGATGTTATGTTTCTTTCTTCTTCTTCTTTTTTTTTTTTTTTGCCTTCTACTTATTGTAAATTTTCTATTTCAATTCTCGAAACTTTTGATATAAATTAATAGTTTAACAACATAATAAAGTTTTTAATCTAAATATTTTTCAAGCACAATTTATTTATTATCTAAATTACTATTTGATAAAATACATCAAAAATATAAAATAAAACTTCATATCAAATGATAGGATTGCAACATATTATATATATATATATATATATCTCTTTATCTGCAAAGCTAAAGGGAGAATTTCTTGAACATTTTTCAAAAATAAAAGAAAGAGAATTAAGGTATTTAAAGAATTAAAATTTCATAAAACTAATTTTAAGGCAGTAAAAATTAAAAGAAAAAATTTGTAAAAATTTATATTAGACTTCTCAAGGTTGTAAATTTAATAGAAATAACTAATGATCGAATTAAATTTAGTAATTTCGAAAAAAACTAGGGATTGTTTTTTATTTAAATAAAAAATTAAAATAATATTTAATTTTCATAATAAAGGTTGAGGATTAAATACGATATTTAACCTTTAAAATGGTACAATTGATTGAATTGCCAAATTTGGAATTCGCGGACATTGAAACAAGGAAAAAAACCATATACTATTATAAGCTGATTTTTTATTCAGTTCATTTAATCTTTTCATAAAAAAAAATATAAAAATTTAAAATTAATAAAAATCACCAAGAAAATTACAAAAATGTGAAGACAAAAATAGAATACAATGTAAAATATAAATATAAATATAAATATATATATATATATATATATATATGAATTCTTCTTTCTTCCGTCTCTTTAACTGATATATTTTACTTTTGTTTTAGGTTCAATATGCAAAAAGAAAATTTTGTGAAGAAATTCAAGAAAGGAACAAGAAAAGGACTCAATTGAAGAAATTGAAAAACTGAGGGTGAAATAAATCAAGACAAACCCACAAATCTAGCCCAAACCCTAATATTGAGTCCACCAGCCACTTAATTCAAGCCTTAACCCAATTCATAAACCAGCCCATCAAAACCCAAATCCCACAATAAAGAAACCCTCACTTCCTTTCCTTTTCTTCAGGGGAGGCAGCAGAGCATCACCTACTCCACTATTCATCGTTGGTGATCGCCAGCTTCTTCGTCCAAGTCACTCCACAGACGCAGAGCATCTTTTCCATCTCACAGCAACCGGGCAGCCCTTGGAACCTCCGGCCTCTTCTAGTTTTCAGTCATCTGTTGCTCCGTTTTCTGTTGGTATAGATCTGAAACAGAGGAGTTTTTGGGGCAGCTGTGAGGAGAAAGATCCGGGGACCATCCCGTGGGTGGGGTACCCCGGATCGGACTCCGATCGGCCACCCAAAAATTCCGCCATTTTACCTTCTTTTTTTTTTTTTTTTATCTATAATTGTTGCTATTGTTCTAGAGTAGTAATGATGTAGATTGCTCGTGAATACAGTGCATATTTCATGCATTTTTTTGGTTTGAGTTCTATTTTCGTTGTTAAAAATTGCTCTCTTCTTCGGTTGTGGTCTTGTTATTTTTTTTCCGTTTAATTTAGCCGAATGAAACCCTAGATTTTCTTTTTTTTTAGAACTCAAGTTTGATCTGTCTTTACCCATTTGGAGCATCAGGTTATGTTTGTGGGTAGGCTAACTCGACCCGTTTAGTTTAGAGGTTGAAGAGGTTGTGGATTGAAATAGATTTTAAAATGGATCATGACTTATTTGCTTTGTGGGCTGACCCAACAAATCAAATAAAAATATAAAAGCAAAAAAATAATAATAAAATCTTAATAATTGATTTCAAAAGTGATTAATTAGTTTAATTGATTTTAATTAAAATTAATTGATTACATTAATTAACCTTAATTATGGTAGTTGGATTAGTCTAATTATTTCAAAGAAAGGTTAATTAAGGTGATTAATTATTTGATTAATTTTAATTAATTCATAATTAATTATTTAATTAAATCAATTATTTTGATTAATTAGTCTTAATCTTGTTTAATTTACTCAACTTATTCAAAATTTTCAAAGTCAAAATTGCTTTTTATTTAATTTTAATTTCCCATAAAACTTTCTGTAATCAAGCAATTTAGTCCAGAAACATTAAGTCTTTTCGAATCAGTCCCCCATGTTTCGAATTTAATCAAATCAGTTCCTTCACTTTTAATTCTGTTGCAGTTGTGCATGCATGTTCTTGATTTTGTTTCAATTTAGTTCAAATATTTTCAAGCTTAGTAGTTTCATACATTTACATTTTAAAGTTCACTTAATCAAAATCAAAAACAATAAAAGTTAAATCAATTCCCAAATGTTAAAATATGCAATTGTGTAAAACACGGAAGATTGTGAGGTGTGCATGTGTCCTTTCTCACTCCTAATTCCTCACTCCTAATTGTACCCCTAGATCTCGAACTCTGCACAGACCATGTTGTAGGTGACTTGTCCCACCTTATAATTTGAACAAGTGGTAACTCTGTTCTTTTTCATTTGATATTTTCATATATATATATATATATATATGAAATTTTAAGTGGTGGTCAACATATACACAGAGCAATGGGGAGTGCACCAGCTCAAATTCCAACGAGCTTTGGCCACGAGCTCAGGGCCTGTCTTCGCTGCCGCCTCGTCAAAACCTACGATCAGGTAAGCTTACTCTCTCTCTCTCTCTCTCTCTCCAAATTCCTTTCTTGTATTTTTTGTTTTTTTAGTTAGGGTTTCTGTTCTTGATTAGGGTTTATTCTCCATTTCTTGAATTCCATATGTGTATTGCTTTATATTTGCAGTTTAGAGAATCCGGGTGTGAGAACTGTCCATTCTTCAAGATGGAGGAAGATAATGAGCGTATTGTTGATTGCACCACTCCTAATTTCAATGGGTATTTTGCCTTTTCTCTTAGTTTCTTCCCTTGCTGTTTTGTTCTGTTTTGTTTTGTTTTTTGTTTTTTGTTTTTTTTCTTTTTTTTTATACTTCTTTTAATTGTTGTTTATATTAGGTTTTGTTCGTTGTTCTTAGGATAATCTCCGTCATGGATCCAACTAGAAGCTGGGCTGCTCGATGGCTTCGACTTGGTAATTTCAATAATACTTCTGCATTTATCTTGTTAGTATAATTCAATTTATTGCTATTTTCTATTTTGCTTTCTGGTCATGGCTGGTTCACAAATTGCAATGGCTGGCTTGCCATTGAGCTTCTAGTTCAATTGAGCATGAAGGGGTGGCCTTGCCTTGTCTGGGTTCAACACTCCTTACCCATTTCAAGGGGATTTCAAGGTATTATGGGTAGAAAAGCAAAAATAGTAACAGTTCAAAAAAAAAAAAAAAAAAAGTTACAAGGCTAGCATCTTCATTGAAGCATTATTTTCTGGCCAACAAAATCATGTATTTTTTTTCCTGGCTTTCATGTGTAGTGGTTCTTAGAGTAGATTAGTTAAGAAACCAGAATTTGAGTTCAATGTTTGGTGAACTACCATTCAAATGTCTCCTTTGGTGCAGAGAAAGGGCTAATAGATTTTTTTGAAATTTTGCTGGGGACCTAGTAACTGGGGTACTTGGTTTTACTTTATAAGAGTTGTTCAAAATTTGATTTTAAGTTTTGTTTTATCTATAAGAGGTGATTTTTTGACAGTCTGCTAGAGCCTAGGAATACAGGTGAATTTCATGAGCTCCTTAATTTGGGTGTTTGGCATTAAAGTTTCTAAACTGTCATTGTTCTGCCTCTTTCAACTTTCTAATATGTTTGTTTCTAGTATATTTTATCCATTCCTTTTTTTTTCCATTTTTACCTTGGATTGACTGTTTTGTTTTGCTTTATCACATTCTTGTAAATATTTTTGCAGCAAGATTTGTACCTGGTTGTTACACCCTTGCAGTTTCAGAGGCACTCCCAGAGGATTTGCAGGTTTGGTTTCTTAGATTGAATGTTGTTAATGAATTATTTAATTTATATCAATTAAGGTATTTGTTATGTGGGTTTTTGGGCAGAGATGATTTGCTAGTTAGCTAATTCATAATTTCAGCGGCAAGTAGATGTGAGAAGTGTCAAGTTTTGGATATATTACAAAACCTTTGAGCATGCTAGTCAGTTGAAAATTCTATGCTACTGAATAACTTATAATATTCATTTAGTTACTTTTGGGAATGACAGATTTTTCATAGCATACAAAATACTATTAGGTATCTAATGTATAGTGTGATGCACTGTTCAAAACTCGAGTACCCCAATTAGTTTCATTTATCGAGCCTTCCCTTGTAACATATGTTGATGACTTTGATATTAGCAATTAACAATTCAAATGGAGATTGAAGATGATCATTTAAATTGTCTTTGCCCAATTGTCGTCATTAATCCATGGTCAAGCCTAGAAGTAACCCTGTAGTTAATTTGGTGTGTTATCACTAGTAAGAGAGAATATCTTGTGCAGCTAGTATATCTATTCTGTTGCAAATTCATTTGAGGGCCACGTTTGTGTTTCATATTGTCAAAAGAAGTATGTGACAATGTTTTGATGCTAATGTCCTCATAGGTTTGCATTTTTCATCATTAACTTTACATTTCAAGCTATGCATCTATGAGCTGACTTATGTATTAGGGATTACCTTGGTGATATCATTTTCTTCCTTGCAGAATTTATGTGAAGATGAGCACGTGCCTTATGTGCCACCCAAACGTGTATAACTGAAAGTTCCCATATCACATTTGCCTTTATGTTTGGAAATCTTAATTCAGTGGATTTTACCAGTAACTAGTGATATTGATATCTTACTCGATGACTCATGATATATGGGAATGTTTTCTGATGTTTCAGGGCAGATACTTGAAAATTTTCATGGGATACTTTCTGTTCTTTTCTTTCTTTTTCTTTTTCTTTTTCTTTTTTTTTTTATTAATTTTTTTAAACTGAATAGTGGTTTAAAATTTTCTTGTTTATAGAAAGCTTTGAAAATGTGGCAAAAATACCTCCCCGTTTAGATACTTTGGAGGATATGGAGTTTAGGCATGGCGTGATTCTGATTACAAGTTACCTATTTTCAAAGTTGTTTAAAAACTGGGTAGACTTTATTTGATTTGATTGAAATGTTTGAAGAATACCATTGACTTAGTCTGCCATTGAGCAAAATAAAAACTAAAAAGTGTGGATTAATTTCAGAATAACGAGAAATCTCAACAGAATATTCTCTTATTAGAATATATTCTCGACGAGAAGAGCGGAAAATAAATCATAAATTCAATAAATTATGGCGTTAGGGATAAAAATGAAAATATAAATACTAGATATATAAATCATTTCTTTTATTGGCGCGGAAGACAGGGATGCCAGACATTTTTAGTCTTGCTGGAGCTACTAGGGTGTATGAAGAGGCAGTGCCCTTCCGAGTTTCTCAAAGGCTTCGTTTTAAATTTATTATGTCTTATGTGGTACTCCTTTCAGGAGGTATCTATCTCTTTTATTTAATTTTTTTCCCGTAGCTCAATACTCATTTTATAACTTTGGCATTAATATATATATATATATATATATGAAAATAATATAATTATAATATTATGTAGTACTATAAGTTTATAATATAATGTCATATTATATAATTGATTTTTTTATCCTGATATTCACTTATAATAATGTATGCATTCACTGATTATAAGTTTATAATTTTATATAATATTGTAATTATAACATTATTGTTATATATGCAGCAAATATTTATTTACATAAATTTTACAGATTATAGTTATATAAAATCTTAATTATTTATTTTTTAATTTTCAATAGTTGATATTTATTATTATTTATTAAAAATGATTATCTTTTTTATCTACAAAATTGTGTTAAATCTCAATAATTGAAAGTAAAGAGAAGAATGCTAAGATTATAGTTATATAAAATCTTAATTATTTATTTTTTAATTTTCAATAGTTGATATTTATTATTATTCATTAAAAATGATTATCTTTTTTATCTACAAAATTGTGTTAAATCTCAATAATTGAAAGTAAAGAGAAGAATGCTAAGATTTTGTGTAAATAAACTTGTGTATTCTCTCTCTCTCTCTCTCTCTCTCTCTCT